AAAGGTGGGTGGGTGGGGAGGGAGGCGGAAGAGGTACTGATACCAAGGGCTTAAATAGAAAGTAAATGTTTAGAAAAGAATGATGGCAACATATCATATATACTCGAGTATAAGCTGACCCGAATATCAGCCGAGGCACCTTAATTTTATCACAAAAAACTGCATTAAAAATGTGCTAAAAACTCGGCTTATACACGAGTATATACAGTCTGTACAAATATGCTTGATACAATTTATATGTGGATTGTGTTAAGAGCTATAAAAGACACCAATAAAATGATATTTTAATGAAAAAAAGAAAAAGATCTTAAAGGAGGAAATAAAAGCACTTCACACCTTCAAGAATACTTACATCTTTTATCCAGATAAAAATGTGAAACAGTGTATCAAAGAATTTCACCTTAGCTTATAAATGCTATTTCTGACAGAACATCTGTGTTTAATGTCTAAATAAATGCTTTCTGAGTACATTGACCTATTTTTTAAAAGAGTAGAGCAAACCAGTATAACTCTTCAGACCATACTATAGTGGATAGCATGTTGCTGTGATGCTTGAAGCTCTCCTCCCAGTATCTCAAATCCCAGCAGGGCCATCCGCTTTGAACAGGTTTCAGTGGAGCTTCCGGAGTAAGACAAACTAAGACGGTGGTCCTGGAGATGTGCTTCTAAAAAGCCGCCCAGTGAAACCTCTGAGTAGCAGGAGAACACTGTCTGCTATAGTGCCAGACAAGCCCTCAGGTTGAAGGACACTCAAAATACATCTCCTCAAAAGACTGTTGGCTTTACTGATGTAGATGGTACAAAGTTTCCAGGGCCTTTATGAGCTACCGTCCGAAAGTTCAGGGGAAAATGGAGTTAAAGGATATTAACAAACGTCTTGCAATCTTCTGATATTTGCTGGTATGGTATAGCTTAAAATGAGAAGGAACCACTACATCTCATTCATTAATAATTGGAACATGAAATATAACAAAACCTCAAACCAAACTCAATGCCATAGAGTCAATGTCAACTTACAGCGACCCTACCGCACAGGGTAGAACTGCCCCTGTGATTTTCTGAGACTGTAACTCTTTACAAGGAGTTACAAAGTCCCATCTTTCTCCCAATGAAAGATATACAGTATGAAAAATGGTGGGAAAATTGGAGGTTGTTAAAATTGAAATGGAATGCCTGATGATCCATATCCTAGGCATTAATGAGCCATAACAGACTGATATTGGCCATTGTACAGTAGAGCAACCCTATGGGCTACTACGCTGGGTATGACAAACTGAAAAGGAATGGTATCACATTCACTGTCAAAAAGATCATTTCAAGATCTATCCTAAAGTATAGTGCTGTCAGTAATAGGATAATATGTGCGCCTACAATGAAGGCCAATAAATATGACTATTATTAAAATTTGTGCATCAACCACTAATGTCAAAGATGAAGAAATTGAAGATTTGACTTTTGAAAAGGATCAAACATAGAATCAAAGTGTACTTGGTAATTACCAGTGATGTGACAATGGAAACAAATCAGGATAATCAGTAGTTGAAAAATATGGCCTTGGTGATAGAAACACCACCAGAGATCACATGATAGAAATTTGTAAGACCAATGCCCTATCCACTGGAAACATCCTTTCCCAGCAATACAGTCACCTGATGATCAGATAGATTACACGAGTCAAATCCACTATGTTGGTGGAAAGAGATACTGGAGAAGCTCAAAATCATCAGTCAGAACAAGGCCAAGGGCAACTTTGGACCAGATCGTCAAATGCTCTTATGCAAATGCAAAAGCTAAAGAAAATGAAAATAAATCCATGAAAGCCAAATTCTAACTTTGGGTATTTCCCACCTAAATTTGTAGAGCATCTCAAGAACAGATTTGATGCACTGAACACTAACTGGAGACCACATGAGTCATGGGATGAAATAAGGACATAACATATGAAGAAAGCAAAAGGCAAGAAAGAAAGAAAAGACCAACAAGAATGCTAGCCTGGGCGATGAGGATCACATTCTTGGTGGTCAATGATGTCACAAACACAATATTTGGCATCTTATTTCTGAGAGTAGTGACCGTGGTCTTAAATGCTTGTACGCAGGTACATAAAGTGCAACTATTGGCCTCTCCTCATCCATAGAAGAGTGATGAAAAAAAACAACACGTGGAAGCAATTAGTCCAATGGGCTATTGGGCCAGCAAACATCTGCAAGACCAG